GGCCACATCCGTACGCCCTCTGTGGGGATCGATGCTTTCCTGGATGAACCTTTTGTTGACCTCATGTGCGGCAGCCAATCACATTGACATGGATAGATAGATGTTCGCGAGAAGGTTTAGTTTAGGAAAGTCATGATGCTTGTTATGTGCTCAAAGTCTTAATTGAGATTCGAGATCCTGCATACGATAGTCATAGCCCGAGTCCCTGTACACAATTTCCGTGCCGGACTGCATGATATAGGTACATCAATAAATCAGATTCAGGACAACTTGACAGACATATTGCATTTCATGTTTTGCTCTCCCATCTCGCCGGTTTGGCAAGACAGACACATTCAAGGCAATCAGATTCCACATTACTTTCCAAATCTTTCAGAGAGTCCAATTTTATGGCCTGTCTTAGAGTATCAACTGCCCAGATGTCAGCATGGTTTCAGAGTCTCAGAGTCCTCCTTAAGTAAAAAGGACCGTTTTACACACATTCCCAAAACATTCCCAAAATGATGCAACACCATTCCCGAGCACATGCTTGAAGCATGTCCAAAACGCTCGATACTTCACCCTCTGGCTACACAGTTGCCGCGGACACATCCTTCAAGCGTTGCGGGCAACACGGCTTCACTTGCAGGTGGCATTTCAATCCCATAGGCCATGCCCAAATACACCAACAGACCCCGCCAGCATCCAAATTCACGAGAAAATTCTGGACATCCATGGGCATTGTTGATAATGTAGGCTCTTGATTCATAAGACCCCTCATCTGAAGAGGTTTTACACTCCCGAAAACTAACATGGAACCTGAAAATGGACCTTTGGAAGGCTATTTTCCTCTACAACCCACTTGTTTTCAGGTTCCATGTGAATCTTCCCGCGTGTACAAGGAGAGGTGTTGATGAATTCCAAGTGTCCATCAAATGTCGGACGCTTCTCGACCGAACGATTCTCGACGCGTTCTCGACGCAGAGACGTCTCGATGGCACATCTAACTCGAGTATGTTTGCATTTGTTGCGCTCCACTACGTGATGGTCGCACCTGAGTGGATGGGTCGCACCTGACCTGGTCGCACCGACCTGGATGAGTGGATGGGTCGCACGTCGACTTGCTCCGCACAGACCCAGGAACAGCTTGACCTCCATGACCTGGAGTGGCTCCGCCTTCTTAGGCGGCTTCCTGTCGGACCAGCACGACTATCGGTGCACAGAGTGTGGTTTGGGGTGGAGGGGCTGCTGAATGGATTTGGGGCCAGGAACGCTCTGAGGCCGCTCTTGAAGCAATCAGTCAAAGGATCGTCAAACAATGTCAGGTGGTTTGTTCGAGAAAATTCCCGGCTGTGGCTGCAGCCTTGCTATTTTGATCTATTTTGATTGGGGCGGTTTGTGCTATGTGGCTATGTGTAAAGGTGTAAGTTCCGGGGTGATTGTTCATGATTGATCAAGGATTTTTTCCGGGGCTCCTGAAAAAGCAACCAGGCGTTTGCTGGTCCAGTTCTGCATGCGACATGGGCTCCAGGTACACCTTCTTCATCACTTCTTTGGTTTATGCCGCTGCATGCCTGGTCTATGTGCCTTTGCTTTACCTGGTCCCGCGGAAGGAGAAGGAGGCTGCTGCGGTTCAGCCACTCGTATGCAATGTACCGGGTCAGGGCGGGATGCCGAGTCTCCAATGGTTGAAGTTCAATTGTAGAATGGTGGAACGCATCAACACACATTACATTGTTTAAAAGTAATGCTGCCGCGCTGTGATTTCTTGGAGCAACCAAGGTAGTGAGGGGGGTCTAAGATGGGGACTTTACAGTACTATTTGTTGAGCATGATTCACCTGGCAGGCACCAAGTCTCGTTGGGAAAAATATTGGAAGCCAGAATCCAGGACCGCACAATGTTCTCAACGAGGCAGAAGACATGAAGAGTTTCCAGGCAAAGTGAGACGGGCATGGACAAGCAAAGAAGAACATTGCTGGTAGAACAGCGCAAAACTGCATTAAGACAGACAGTCCTGGTAGATACCCAACCTACCTGAGAGAAGGGGTCCTCCGTTCATGAATTCATCAAGTTGTTCATCTTCGATCTTGGGAATTGGACTCGAACATGAGGGGTGCGACATAGATGGCGCTTTACCATCTGCCTTACAAGGCGATTGCAAGGCGATGCAGAATCTGTGGGTTCATGGTGTCCTCTGTCCTGAAAATGCGCTCACACACACACACACCCCACACATTAGGACACCCAAATGTGTAACACACTCACATAGATCGATCGTCTAGAAATGTCTACACGATCCAAGTGATCAAGATCCGCTTGAATGGCTTGCTACTTGCCCGTATCACCCTGTTACGTTCTTGGAAGGTCCTTCTCCTGTTTTCAACGGCCTACGTATCCTGTGGGGACACAAAATGCCAGAAGTCTCTGTATTTCACGTTTGCTTCGTTGGGCCAAGATATCATTTTTACCAGGACTCATGCCACGTTAAACACGGTAAATTGACACCCTTCAACACATCTCAAAAGGTTGTGAACCATCAAAATGGTCTGAGAACGTTGCCTGTCCAGACCAGGGCTCGCTCACCAGACCAGGGGGGGTGTCCACGGAGACTCGGTCGTCAGTGCGTGCCAAACACCTCCGGTCGACGACCCCGCCTTAGGGTGGTGCTTGGAGCCGGCTTTGACATCCCAAACATGCCGACGCTTGATTCACAAACCCCAAACCTGGAAAGGTTTTTATATTGGTTTATATTTATATACCTCAAAGGGCCCGGGGATTTGATTAATCAAGACTCTATGAGTCGTTTTGGAACATGGACCAGGGTGACCATCATGGAGTCTACATGAGTCCTGGTGGGTGTGCGACCCCACTCCAAACCATCATCCACTGTGCACCATCCTGGTGGGTCCATGGGGTCACTTCGGGTCTGATTGGCGTCCGTTCCAGGCCATGACACCGGCGGCATGGCGAAGAGCACCGGACTTGGACGGGTTGGACTCACGGCGGGGGTGGAAGGCTCTCGGGGGTGCAGTACCGGTACATCAAAGAGCAATAAACATAGACTTCTTGCTCCTAGTAGCGATGCCCTTTAGTATCACCGGAAGTTGTTGGTGGTTTGGTTTGATGTCGGAACGAAGCCAGTGACCTGTTGGAGGGAATCGACCGAACACAGGAAAATATATTCACACATGCATACACAAAATACTACCTGTAGATACATACATCCGTATACTTAGAGTACTGTTCGCAGGTTCAAACGCGTGCGCAGGAGTTGCAACCAAGCAAGCCAAGAGCTTGTTGGTCAATACACGCTAACGGTTTAATCGCTTTTTTCTCTGCCGCGGGTGACCTGCGACGGTAATCGATATGTTTTAAGAAACTTGGGACATTTGCTCACCGTGGGGACCGTGGGGGCCGTTTTAGGTCAAACATGTTTACACCCAAATGCGGTCCGTTTATGCTGTAATGTGATGTGCTACTACGTTCCAGACACAGATCCCATTATTGAGATTCTTTGAGTAAATTTGGTGCCGCAATTGTCGCTCTTTGATCTAGACCAATGTGGCCACGCCCCACCGAAACTATACAGGACCATTGGCTGGCTACCCGACTGCCCATGAAATTCCATGAATTAAGCAAGAACCCAATCAGGATCAACCCTGTTTCACTGACAGGGGGGTGCGAGGTCCAGCCTGACAGGAACCTTCCGCCCGGAGGGGCGGACCTACCAAGAACAAGGATCCACGGTGTCAGAGTTCCTCCCTAAGTTCATCACAGCGCATTGAATATCATTCGACGCATGCCCCTGTCTTTGTCTGAGGCCAGGTGAGCACACTCATGCCGCGCGATTCTTTCTGGCCTTGGATGGCATCAGAGGGGTGAACTTACTGAGGTGGTTGCACATTTTGGAACGGGGTAACTGCTGTATGGTTGCACATGTTGCACATTTTCGCAAGAAATGCAGTCGGTCCGGGAACAACTGGTTCCCCCACAGGTGTTTTGAAAAAAATATACGTGGGTCAGTACTGCACGTGAGTCCCTTGTGTGTGTAGGTGTGACTGCGGACGCCAGAAAGGGACCACGCTTGACGTTCGCACGACCACTGGCAGAGACCACACGGTCCTCAACACCGACAGCGGTCTCTGCCAGTGGTCCTCAAGATGGTCCTCAAGCAGACCAATTCAACAATCCTTCGGCACTCGTTCTTGGGAAGCTGCTGTATAGAGAGCTACCCTTGGAAGATCCGGAAGATCGAAGATTCAACCTCAAGGACCCCAAAAAGAGAACTTAGTTCAACCTTTGTCGGACGGAATCTGTACGTGCAACCCCAAGTGCCCCCAGTAGGGCCTAGCAGTCAGATCCTTGCAAAGCCAAGCAGCCTAGCAGCTCGTGAGAGGTAAAGGCAGTGAAAAGGCTGCCGTGTTGGAGTGAGAAGGGAAGGAAGTCCATGTTGGAGCTCATGTTGGAGCAGAACGAAGGGCTCCCAGTCCCCAGTCCGGACAAGACTTCCAACCCACCGCTGCCGAGCTCGTGCACCTGCGCCCGGTCTCGAGACCGAGACTTGGAAGGCCTCCTTTCGATGGGCTGGACTTGGAAGGTCCTCACTTGGATGTTTCCACCGTGAATTCACACGCCAGCGAACCATCGATTTGGACGGACTCAACGGGGGGCTTCCCCCAAGATGGTTCGGTGCCACCAAACGGTGGAAACGCGGCTGCGTGGCACACCTCGGTTTGGTCGTCGACCTCGAGGAACCCGGTTTTCGGGGGGTTTCCGGGGTCGGTCGGAAAGGCCCGAGGCATGGGCACGGGGGCATGGCAGATAGAACGTGGTCTGGGTTTTCTCAGACATCAACTTTTGGTTGATCTTATCTTATCATATCTGCAGAGGGTTTGACAGACCTTTCCACACTCTTTCAATCCTTTGGTGGGGTTAATCCATCTGCCCAACTGGGCCATTTGCCCGAGGTGGCAGGACCTGCCCAAGTGCCGCGCTGACTCGGAGCCACCTCCTTCTAAGGTGTATTTGGCGGCAGTGGACCAGTGGGGGAACGCTTGCTCCTTCATCAATTCCAACTACATGGGTTTTGGCACAGGCATCGTGCCTGCTCCTTGGGCAGCACCATGAGTATGCCGGGGTCAGCTGGGTGAAACACCTTGCTTTACCCATCAAAAGGCGTTTCTTGCGGCAGGGAACTGGGGGGACCCTTGGCGCCCAAGGTAGCCCCAGCCCTTAGAGCTCTCAGGGTTTGGAGGCACACCCTCAGCCTGGTGGAGCCCGCGGCTTCCAGCCATCAGCTGAACCCCCCCCCATGCGTTCAGACCACTCAGGATGGCTGTGGCTTCTCCCTGCAGAATCGCCGCTGGGTGTAAAGGCACGCCGGCACTGAGTGCGAGGCACTCCAGTGAGCCGGTGAATTGGTACCGTTCCTTGAGAGATGTTCCACAAGAATGCCTGCTTTGGAAGACCACATAGAAACATAAAACATTGATAAATATTGGGAATGTCATGGGCCATGGATCTTAAGTGAGGAATGCTGACAATTGATCAAGCAGTGATAAAACATGAATTCCCATAAATGATAATTAATGATATGCGCGTGTAGAGCTTGTCTACAAACCATCCTTATGTCAGGCCAGCACTACCTATATAATACAAACAAGGAGAGCCGAAAGATACGATGGCATTGGAAAGATAACTTTGCTCTAGCATAGACTGTGCTAGGACGCTTTTTGAGGATAGTTTTTGTTGCGTCTGTTGTCCTATTGGCGACCTGATGTGGTTCTCTCCAAAGGGTGACGAAGGGTGACATGTGTGACATCCGACCATTCGATCAGATCCAAGGTTGTGCCCAGTCTCCCCTCCCAGGAAAACCAGGTGGAAGCTTGGACTGAAACCAAGCAATCGATCTATAGTCCCAAGGAAGATCAAGGAAGATCAGTGTCACTATGTTGGTTTGGGGATCCGTTCCCAGCAGTGTCACTCATAAAACAAGATCTACCTAGTGTCTATATATAATATACATAATATACAATAAACATATAGTATAACTTATAACTCTATACACAATATGCACTTGACTTGAAAACCTGAGTTCGAGGATAGCCCGTCGAATCACCCCCTTGGACCCGCCCAGGTGGGCACAACTTCATCCTGCAGAAATCGCACCCCAACTGCCTTGGGCCAAGTGAGGAGCTCAGAGGGATGGATTGCAGTAGCCAGAGGGCCAGGGATCAAGGAAGCCGTTTGGAGCCTCTAACCAGCCGTTTTAACTTTTTTGCGCACGTTTTGAGCGCCAGCCCGATGGATGCAACGGGTGCAAGTCCAATAGCTAGACCGGTGAGGAAGCTTGTGAGCGAGCATGAGGGAGCGAATGAGCTGGGGTAGCCAGATGCGATGGGTGTAGGAGTCCAACAATCCGTACCCTAAATTCCCAAATGAACAACCACACTCCAGAAGCCGTCCTTATTTGGATGTGTGACATCCCAGGGAATGTCCTGAGACAGATTCGGAAACGCACATTTTCCGGCCTCATGTCTTCCATCCGCCTCACGTTTTCACATATGGAAGTGCATTTGGTTGGACGGCACATGTCTTCAACCAACAGAGGGCTTTCCACCTCCATCTGGGTTGGAGAGATGATGCCTTCTTTTTTTTGCGGGTGGCGACTGACCCTCTTCACCACCGCGCCGAGACATGGGGACCCGCCGAGACCTATTCCTCTACCACAAACCGAAGACCTATGCTCTGACGAACACATGGTAACATGGTGGTGACGTGGCATGGCCATGGTTCCTTGGGAGACTACTTTCCTTAACGAACCGGTTTTTGTCTTCCACTTCTGTGCTGTGCTCATCAGAGTGGCTGGTGTAGATTGCAGGTGATGCACAGGAGGGAGCCAAAAGGCTTTGGGTCACTGGGACTGAGGAAGAGCTCCATGTTCGGTCCCCCCCTGACCAACAGGAGCGACCATGGACGGTTCCCCAAGCCCTGAAAATGTGATGGCCATGTTGCCAAAAAGTTTTTGCGTGTGTTTCCTCCGAGTGTAGGTCAATACAAGTCAACACCTAAATAGCCTAAACCGAATGAACATGAAATCACAAACAAAACATGCTTCCTTGGGTGCAGACACTTGCAAAGCTTTAGCCACTATCATCCCCTGAATTGGTGGTTTGCAACCGCCCAGAACCAGCCAGGGAGAATCCAAATGTGCATGCAAGTAGTTCATGTTTGTTGCACATTCCAGATTCCACCTCTACTCCAGGATCATAGTCGGACTACTTGCGGACCTTTCATGTTGGCCCGTTCGGCCACGCCTGACATGCCTCACGATTCCGAGGCAAGTTTTGCTACCATACGATCATCCCAGGCATGGTGACCCGTGAGGACCTGGGCTGCTGCGACTCACGCGTTTGGTGCGAAGCTTCTGTCGACGGCTTCAGGAGATAGAAGAGCCCGATGTGGTTGGACCATCGTCCCATCCAGTGAGTGGATGTTCTGGGGACCCTCTATCCTCTATATAACAATACACCCCGTCTTTTCCGTGACTCCTGGTTGACATCTCTGGTTTGACTTCCCAGTTGACTGAGCCAACCGCTTGACACTGAGCCCGGCGAGATGCCCACCGCTTGTCGACTCTCCTTTTCGCATCGACCGCGTCTTTCGGGGGTCGGATTCGTGAACATGTCGGATTCAAAGCAAAACCAACAATGAAGTCCATTAAGGGGGTAGTCTTTGGTTTAGAATCCTTCATACTGGCTGGTGACCAGTAAGGCAAAAACATCGCCTGGCTGAGTGTCAGGTGAGTTTTGAACTCCAGTTGTGAGTTGAGCTTGGTTGTTTCGCATGCTGACGCCCCAGAGACTTTCTTCCTTTCAGTCATTCCCTTGGAACAACCGTCCTGACGTCTCCACCTTCCGACCGACCTCGAGACAATCCCGCCCGAACCGGACCGAAGGAGACGAAGGACTTGTTCTGCACTTTGGGCGTCATGGGCGGCTTCATGCAACCTCAGGGGCACCTTCAGGTCGTGCTCGCGCGGCAGAGTCGCCAACGGGGGGGGAACGTGGACACCGCAACAAGATCCGGGCCAAGTGGGGACCGGAACAGAGGTCGTGGAGGTGGGTCAGAAAATGTGAGAACATGCAGGTAGCTCAGAGCATGTTGATCATTTGTTCATACCTTCGCATTTCCATGAGCTTTCTCCAGAAGTTTCACTAAGCTGCGCCGTATTTCATCGTATTTCGATGGTGGACAGGTCTTGTGCGCCATGGCGGACTACGGCTTGGATCCACAGGCGGCCTTGGACCAGCCACGCTTCTGTCTGCAAGGCTGCGTGGGTTGGGAGAAGCTAACTATGATCACCCTCCGCGCATGAGGCTCTATGAAACGACCATCACTTTCCTCTATGAAATGGGTTTTTGACACCCATTTTACATACTGTAGATTATATAGTTGTAGATTTCCAAAATGTATTGTAACATTGTTAAGCCGAGCGCACATTTGCTAGCTCCAGTTCCGGAGCGTACAGTACAGCTCGGGATCCTTGTCCCAGCAGTGTTGGTTGATGAAGAAACCACTCCCTGGAAGAACTATGGTTACGTGGAAAGCCATGGAAAACCACCCGCTTTGTCCTGTTGATTCCAGGGAGTGTACATCTTCCCCACAGGTGTGGACAGTGCGCTGGGTGCTGCAAGTGCCGGCGCGGCCCAGCTGCTGCTGGAGGAAGGGATGCCCGAAGAGACGCAGGCGGGTTCCAACCTCGAGCTCTGGGTCCACCATGTAGCAATCGCCCGACACCATTACTACTATATAGTAGCTCTTCGTTACTATATAGTAGTAGTGCACTTGGCTACGTTCGTAGCGTCCTTGCTAGTAGCGATGCACCATGCTACTAGGTAGATATCACTCCCAGACACCGCTCCTTGGTGGCGTGCTCAGGCGGTCAACGAAGGTATCCTGCCATGATCCACAGTCATTTGCTGCACCCCGCGGCACCTCGTGGCACCTTTGTTCCAGATTGTGCCACAAGAGTGCAGGATGGAGTGGAGCGATGCAAGAGGTATGCAATGGCATGAACATCTAATTGACTCTCTCCATGTATATATACATATATACACAGTATAGATTAGTATACTGACTGTATGTGTATAAATATGTAACTTATGTACACACTACTATACCGCATATAGGACCACCAGATCCATGGAGCTATATGGAGCCATCCGTCCGTGCTCTCGGGCAGGCGCAGCTGCGGTCGATGGGGCACGACGTTCACTTGGTCACCGGGTGGCAGCGCTTGGTCTTCGGCCGAGGGCAAGTGATTTGCTCGGCGCCCCAAGACCGGGCGGATTCCCAGGGCGGATGCAGGTCTCCAATGGAGGGGTTTGGAAGAAATCCAAGGTATATGGAATGAATAGAGCTTGTTTGTGCATGGTTTATCACTACATATCACTATTGTAGTTATAAATAGAACTACTATATCCCTGCACTGATCCCTGGAACTACATCACCCCAATCCATAATTTAGAATCTTGATTAATGGGCGTCCATTTGGATTGTAAAAACTCTTCAGGGGGTATATCATTAGTCAAGGTTCTACACTTCAGGCAAACAAAGCCATACACGTGTTGAATCTGGTTGGGGAATTGGAGCGTTTGTTTTTATTGTTACTTTTTGTTCTTGGAGGGCCAAAGGCCAGGTTACGCGGTTGGCTTCAGACCTTGCACGAGGTGCTTGGAGAAGGCTCGGGTGATGTAGTCTCTTCTTGAGGCTGATGATCATTTCCCAGTGGTCTACTCCTGCGCCCAAATTTCACACCTTCCAAAGTTGTTGCAAAAAGGAGCCCTTTCGATGTGGGTTCGTTGCGCCGCCGTTTCCACAGTTCCGCCGCCGCCGCGCAGCCTGTTTTAACGGCCTGTCCACCCATTCGGCGAGCGTCGACAGCATGCGCAAGCTTTGGGCCGCCCTGCTTCCCATGGCCTTAGGCGATGGGGAGCTGTTTCTGAGCCACCTGGAAGATTGATTGGCGGAGCGTGGGAGGTTTGGGAGGGGTGAGGAACCCCATAGAAGATTGGTCGAAAAGTGCCAGGAACGGTGGATTTGGCTCCTCACTTGAGTCTTTGGACATCGAACTGGGGGTCCAGGATCGGTCAGGGCTCAGGCTGGACCTTTAGTTCCAAGCTATCACTAGCTGCTCAGCGCAACGGCCGCAGGGCTGAGCATGATCATGAAACACAAGCCACCTGGTTGAGGGTTTGCCGAACCATGCTAGTAGTTGGTGTTCCACTTACGTCTGCTTGTAGTGGTTCAATACATCCTAAAGCTACATGTTGATTGTTTTTCACCTGCAGCGTCCCCTTGCGTTCCCGTCCTCAGGTAGCTCCACCACGCCTGCACTGCAGACCTCCAGCCTTGACCCGTCCAACATGACCTATGATGCTTAGCCGCAGCCAATCTTAGCCACCATGACCAATAGATCGAGGTGGTGGCCAGACCAAAAACAAGACCATCAAGCGCGCAGCTGTGCGCACGGTGCTTCACTTGTTTGGCGTTCGTAAAACTGAGTGATGCCATGGTGGCCGGTTCTGGTGGCACCAGCGAAGGTCAATCAGCCTGGACATGTCGTCCGATGCCTCGAGGCTTCGTTCGATATCCTCTCTACCGCATGTGGGGATGGGGTCGTGAAGCCTGCTCCGTCGCGAGGCCCTGCTCCGTCGTTTTCACCACCGACACCAGGTAGGTCAACTGGTCGGTCTCCAGAGTGTCTGTAAGTGGAAGAAGCCAGCTGGACGAGTGAATCAGCAGTGTTCGGCACGTATATGTGCCAGGTACACACAATCCACGCGCTCCAGAACTAACATGGAAGTGGAAAATGGATGAACATGGTCCCTTAGAATACAGCTTTCCTCTACAAGCAGTTCTTTATCCACTTCCAATACTTCCATGTTAGTTCCAAGGAGTTTCTGTGCTTGGAACGTGCGGTGGCAGAAGACGGAAATGACTCTGCCTTCACTCGAAAACGGTCCCGTCCGACTCTCGGTCCGATGAGCCCGTCGAGGACTGCAATCCCTACCTCGGCACGCAGCACCTCGGTGAGCAGTTCGGCCTCTCTCGGCCTTCCTCGGAACCGATTCCGGCCGAATTCGGACGAAGAGGACTGGAACAGGGAGGCCGGATGATGCCGGCCGAGCGGACGAGTGTTTTGGAATTATGGCCACGAGATCACGAGTCGGTGGGGGAAAAACACCTGGAAAGCCGAGGTATTTGATTATTGGCAACGGCAATGGTATCTCTTCTGATGGCTGCACTGACAGTTGGGACACCTGGCACCAACGGCATGTGGGACATGAGACCGAGAAACGCAGCAACAGGCCGACCAGGCGTCTGAAGGCGGCTCACTTCTGAAGGTTCGATTTGTTTCAATGCTTGTTATGAATGTACCGTACTTTTTTTTTAATAAGCAGAACCTGAAATAGCAACCTTAAGACACAAATGCAACCAAAAAGAGGGAAGTACCGTTCTCAAGGTTCTGATGCTTATTGATACCTGTTAAATAATCAATATTAAAATCCTAGGGGTCAACCCCAGGAAAAAATATGAATGTTTTTTTTGTTTTTCGCCTGCGCCCAGAAAAAAATACGACGCCCAAAACTTGCTACCCAAAAAGATTAACCCTTGGCACAATGATTTTAAACATAATGTTGGAATAACATACCAGCAAAATTGAGGACCACATGGTATCTCAGGCCAGGAATTTAGTAATGCATGTTTTCCCAGTCTGTGATTGCTTGCACGGGGTCAAGGTCTGATTTTAATACTTGAGTAGGGCCGGTCTGTGCATTGCCAGCCTTCCATTCTTGTAATGTTTATTCTTTAGCCAACCATGGAGGCAAATATTTGTTTCCTGATCTCAACTGAGCGTTCCTGTGGAGTTTGGAATGGACCTGAATCTGAAGGTCAAACAAGGACGCTACTAGGGGCCCCTGGCCTTCCTACTAGAGTACTAGGAACAAGAAGCCACGACCGAGGACCCGATGACCGGTTTCGATTGTCCGACCTCGGTGTATGGCCGTTGCTGTTTAAGAACATGCATGTCCTTATATAATCATAAAGGAGAAAAAGAGTGTTGGTGGATTTGTGTACATACATACCACCGTCATACTACCGTCTAGATCCGTCTAGTCTAGTGAGTGACAGAATTTGTGGAACATCATGCCAATTTGTTTTTTTACAAATCCCTTGCTCGTCACGTGGTATACTAGGAAAGTGTGGAACGTTGTCGCGCGAGTTATATACCCCAGCATAGTCCTCAAACGGCTTCAAAACCACTCGTTTGGACCAATGTTAATCAAAGACGATTTCTTGGTACGCCCTACCTTCCCCCCAAGAATTTGTTCGGTCACACTCCTCTCCAGCTGTTGAGCGTGTTCATTGAAACATTGAGAATGTAGAATGCGTCTCACAGGCACACTATCGGGCACCCCATCTATCAACAGTATGAGACGGGCCCCTACGCGAACCCGCTTCTTTCGCGGGCGTCCGATTCGGCCACAGACCTCAGGGGCGCGGCCAGTGAGTGTGGCCAGCCCTTCTTTCTTCTAAGATAGAGCCCCAACAGTAAACTGTTTGGGGAAAAAACAAGGTGCCCGAACACGGTTGACAGCAGAAGCCTTCGATGGCACTCTGGAAGGCTTTTCCAACAAAGAATGGCCTTCCAGAAACAACTTGTGGACTGTCCCGATGAGGACCAACCACCGCAAGGGTCAAATGTAGGTTCATGTAGATTCTGTACTGTTGTGTAGGCCCACTTATATATGTATTACAAAAGCCAGCCTTCGTAGAAGGCGCCAGCTGAGTTGTGTTTGGCGAACGAAGTGAGTCTGCGGGGGCTGGCCCGAGAGAGCACTACGCAAACTCGAAATTACGTGGTGTTTAGGGGTGCACGGAAGCAAGGTTTTGGAGGTTGTGTTGGAGGTGATTTTTTGTGATTTTTGAGCGGCTGGTGATGTAAGAGATGTATTTTTCTTCATTTGCATCATCTGCATGGTAAGGTGTAGTTTTACCGAGGCCGATGTGTTGTAGCTTCGTGCAGCTGTGAATGCATAACCTCCTACACACATATAAGTTTAAAGCAGTAATGAGACTTCAAATCCGTGGATTGCTGCACGTTTCTCCAGGTTATCTAGCGGTTGACGGAAAGGGAAATTGAAGTGCTATACCTGGCATCTGAATTGCAGCGGTTGACCCAAAGGGAAACTAACGTATATTGACGTGCTAGACCTGGCAACTGAATTGTAGCTACCCTGGGTCCGTATACATGCTATTTTTCTTTACGGCTATACCTCTTACACACCTATACAAGTTCAAAGCATGAATGAGACTTCAAAGTTGTGGATTGCTGCGCGTTTCTAAAGGTTATCGAGCGGTTGACGGAAAGGGAACTTGAAGTGCTCTACCTGGTAACTGAATTGTAGCTACCGTGGGTACGTGGATTGCTGCACGTTTGTCACGATAGCGGTTGACGGGAAGGGAAATTGAAGTGCTATACCTGGCAACTGCCTTGTAGCTGCCCTAGTTCCGCGCGCGTGCGCGCGCCTTGCTGGAACGGGAGCCAGCAAGGCGCGCGCACGCGCGGACCCAGGGTAGCGGACCCAGGGTAGCTACCGGGAGCTACCGCTGCACTTTTCTTATCTCTCTTCACAACGTGCTCGTGGACAAAAAAAGCTGGCTTTCGTTTTGCAGCTTCTCAGGTATGAGTATGTATATAGTTACTTTTCAGAATCTTTCAGGTACTTTCATTTTGTGAGTCCCTGACATGTTGACAAGATTAAATATTTATATATCTATTTCTTGTTGTGTGAGCTTGGCAGGCACATGGGTTCATCAAAAAGCACCCTGCTTTTGTTTTCTCAACAAACTTCTTGGTTGGAGGCCATCGCTCTTATAGGTTGGAGGCCATCGCTATGTAGCAGTCGACCATCAAAGTTGCTGTACGGCAGTTTCTTGCTGCTGCTGCTGCTACTCCACAATTTCACACCCCTTTGAGCCCCTAAGTGCGTGGATAATCGGCACTCCCTGCAATAGATCCAAATAGGCACCCCTTTTAGAACTGCTGCTTCTTCTAATTTTGCTTTTGTAGGCGAAACCGGCATTCCAATTGCAACACTTCCCTTCTCTGCCTTTTTGCCGTAAAACTTCTGCAGGCACCACCAGCCGTGAAGTCCCCCGACATATTCATGATCGGGAGTTACTGTCACCCTTGGCATCCGGTCTGTGTGACGTGTCTGATGGCATTGCGGTCTGGTCTTTGATTCTTTTGGACTCA